ATTGATGATACTTCTATTCTGAGTAAAGCATGTCGTAGAAACAACTTCAGCCCAAAGATAGAGTGGAAGATATGCAAAATTGAGTATAGATCGAGCAGCTTCAACAAGTGTTCAGTTGCGACATTCGACTACACCATTTTGTTGAGGAGTGTATGGAGCAGAAAAGCTGTGGTCAATACCATTCTCGGTGAGGAAGTTCTCAATGGTGGAATTTGTGAATTCTGAACCATTGTCACTTCGGATTCGCCTAACTGGGAGTTTGATGAGAACTACAATTCCTTTAATAAAGTTGATGCGTTTGAAGGCTGTTTCTGACTTGAGCCTTAGGAAGAAGACCCAGGTGAACCGAGTAAAGTTATCCACAATCACAATAATGTATTTTTTGTGATGTAAACTCTCTACTATTGAAGGTCCACACAGATCAATGTGTAGAAGTTCTTGCGGCTCCGAGATTGATTTTTCAGTGATGACGGGATGACCCTTCATTGATTGCTTTCCACACTCACATGCAACACATAAATGATCATTTTTGAACTTGAGTAAGGGCAAACCTCTGACCATCTCCCCGGAAACAAGATCATTCATATATCTAAAGTTTAGATGAGCAAGCCTCCTATGCCATAACCAACTGACGTCAGGAACAACTTTTGAGAGTAAGCAGAGCCGGGGCTTGCTGATGATCATGTTGATGTCAAGAGGATACATGTTCTTGTTGCGATTTGACTTGATTAAATATTCTTTCCAGTCTTCGGACATTACATCGTTGTGTTTCTTGCAGAATTCAACTCGTCGATTTGCATCAATGAGTTGAGCTACACTTATCAAATTATGCTTCAAGTCAGCTACATATGCCATGTTTGAAATGGAGAAGTTGCCATTTGTAAGGATGCCATAACCTCGGATATGAGAGTTGGAGTTGTTTCCATACGTCACATAGCCAGCATTTGGTGAAAGTTTGAGATCTCACAGAAAGTCCTTTTGCCCCTCCATGTGCATGGAGCAAGCACTATCAATATACCATATTGTTTCTTGCTCCAAAGCACAGAGTGCCTGCAAAATTAGTGAGTTGTGGAGTTTTTAGGCTCTGTTTTAGGTTTGGGGACAAAGGCACGAGTCTTAGGCTTCAGTTGTGACTTTTAAGCAACATAGGGTTTGGAAGGTTTGTTTCGAGATTCCTTTGGAAACAAACAGAAGGCCATGGTTCTTTTATCTGTCCAATAGTCATACTCAATGACATGAGGGTTCAGAACAGCTTTTCTCGGACATTCAATTTCCGGAGTAGTGGGAACCACAGTGTCTCTCGGAATTGCAGTTTCATCATTGTGATTTTTTACTTTCCAAACAAGATTTTGTTTTGTAGATTTTTTAGAGACTATTTTCCTAACAACTTGTTTTTTGGTTGATGGTACATTTGGTTTTGAAAACTATTGAGATTTGAAAATTGTACCATCAGCTTTGGCTATGACAACGGATGAAACAGTCTGAGGAGAGTTGGTTTGGACAGATGCAGTGCTTACAAGAGGCTTTTTCGGGGTGGGACTCACCACTTTCTTTTGTTGTACAGGATTGGAAGGATTGGAAGGCCTCTTGAGTATCTTAGTGGGTGCGAAGGTGTTTTGACTCTTAGTTGATGAATAAGCAGTCCGAGATACACTCTTTTTTGAGTTCTAAAGGAATCTAGAATTTAGTCTTGATTTAACTTCCTTTTTGTGAGCATTCTGAGCTTCTACCTTAGGATCAACAATATATTTCCTATTCAACATGGGTTTTCTTTTGGAATGAGGCGAAGATTTGGAGGTTTATCCTACTGGAGGATTGTTGAACACGGGCTTAATTGGAACTAGTTTTGTTTTGGAAATCACTTGGGGTTCAGAATCACATGAGATTGACTCATCAACGTCACTATCTAAAGGTGCCCAAACACATTCAGAGAATTCGGGTCTAGTTGTCTCCGGAAAAATTTCCTCAACAACACAGTTGTTAGGAGGGCTGTGGTTCGGATTTTGAACGACAGGGTTTGGAATACTTGAGTGGGGTTCCGAGGTCCGATTCAGGTTCAGGTTTGTCAGAGGCAGAAAATGCGTGGAATCGAGACACTTGACAACTATAGGCTGAAACTCAGGAATCAATGATACAAATTGGTCAGGGGTCTCAGGAAGAGGTGACAAAGGCGAGACAGGGGTGTCCGAATGTTTGATGTTCGAAACGTCTCCCATAAAAGTTAGGGTTTGTAACTCCTTCAAGGGACGAGAAATAGGTTTCGGAAACTCGCTTCCGAGACCAGGTGCTTTTGACCAAGGATGACGAAAATTGTGAGTCATCCGTTCATTTGTTTCAAGAATGTCTATGGAATGGTGCAAAGTATCTATTTTAGCATTGAGACATTTGTTAACAGGAATTAAAACATTTCTTTCAGAATAAGTGATTTCACATTTGTCTTTAAGAATGATACATTCATCTTGTGACATTACAAGCTCTCGTTCTAAAGACTATATTTTCAACTTCTTATCCTCAAAGTGTAATCTAAGACAACTTAATTCACTTTCCTTCTTCTCACTGGCTTCTATGGCTGACTCATAGGCTTTGTAAATGATGTTCATATCTGATTGGATCTGGGTTAGATATGGTTTACAAAGAGATAAGTCAAATTTTTTTTCAGTAATCATAAGTTTTACCTGTGGAACGATGCTTCTACCGGGTGGATCGTTAGTAGCCATGTAGCAGTAGTTTGGTTCAGCATCTTCATAGTCACCTTCAGATCCAGACGACCAGTAACCTTCATCACATTCAATTTCTTGTCGAGCCATAAGACACATGTTCCTACCAGTGGTTAAGTCATCATCATCTCCAGACGACCAATACCCTTCTACATCCCTTGATACAGTGGTAACAAAAACCTTTTCACTTTCTGCCATTTCTTGGGCTCTTCGTGCATAGTAAGCAGAGTCCTTAATCTTGGGTTTCTGTGGAACTTCGGCTAAGAAATCTTTGGCAAAGTGGTTTGCATGGCCACATTTGTGAAATATAATCTTGGGTTTTTTCGACTTCGGAGGTTGTGATGGTTTTGAGGCGTGATTTGGTGTAGGGAGGTTAGGCTTGTAGGATGGTGGGTTTTCGGAAGGTATGTTGAATGGTTGAGGGTTATTTTGGTGAGGAGCCTGAAAACGATTGTTTTGGTGAGGAGCCTGGAAACGATTGTTATATGCCTTGTTGAAAGGACGATTGTATTTCATGGAAAGCAAAGCAAACTCTTGTTGGAAACAAAGTTCGGAGTCCATTTCATCAGGGTTAAGATCACTCATTGGTTGATAGTTAATGTTTATGGGAGCAGGAATGGTTGGTGGTGAGGGTTGAACAGGAGGGATATACGGAACAACAACAGTGAAAGGGTCTGAAATGGTCAGGTTTGAGGTTTGTGGATCATAGGAACTGACTAGAGCTAGAGGACCTCCAGTGAGTTCGCGTAGGGTTTGTGCAACATTTGACTCATGACCTTGAAGCTCATCGAAAAGTTGGTAGAGCTTTAGCTTTTTTAGAGATCCATTTCTCTGAAGACATGATTTCACATTTCTCCATCCCCTTCCGAGGCTATTAATGAACTTCAGGTTGTACTCAAGTGGAGTTCAGACTATCCCATGAGCTGTCATGTTGTTGACGACAATTCGGTATCTATTTGAGGCTGAGGCAACAGATTCACTAGGTATTGTAGTGAAGGTGTCGAACTCATTGACAACCGAGGTTAGATGCTTATCCTTCATGTTCTCTGACCCTTTGAACAAATATTGAAGTGTGTCGCAAATCTCTTTTGCAGACTTGCACAGTTTGATGTGCTCAAAGAGAGAAGGTGGAACACCAAATACCATTTCTGAAAATGCAACTTGATCAGTATGCAGCTTTTCAAGATCACCAGCAGTTAGAGGTGCTTGTCATTGTTGATCTTGTCCAAAGAGAGTTGCAGCAGGATCTCTAACAATGGTTCGAACTGGACATGGGGACCTTCTTTAACGGATCTCCAGATAGATTCACTTTTTTCTTTTCCAAGTAAAAATCTTTCCATTCTGACTTTCCAGTGATCATACTCTTCAACAACTAGCAGCGGGGCACGTGTAGGGCAACCCACACTATTTGCTATTTGCATTGAGTACATTTGTTGAGAATTAGAAGCAGCCATTGAAGTTAAGATATATTGAGAAAAAGTGGTATATAGAAGAACTTTTATCCTTAACACAGAAATGATTGAAATACCAAGGTAATTTCAAATCAACTATAATCTGATCTTTTGGATTCAAAGGACAACCACTCACGTTCTGATACTAATTGTGAGAAAAATGATATGATTGCGCAGGGACAAGGTTCGAGAACTCAAACCTTGAATTAATGCTTAAGATCAATGCCTGCTACTAAGAGATTCAACAAAGTGTTCAATCCATAAATGAAGAGTGAAGATAATGATCAGAGTAAGGTCAATAAATGAACAAGAAGAATGTTTTTAGAATGGACTTGAAAGAGAGGTGTAAGAGAAATAACTTCAAACAATACTATTTTGGAGTAGCAATCTGTCTAATATTCTTGTCATAAAGCGCACCATAAATAGGTGAAAAGGGTACATCGTACAAACTCCTAAACATACATAGGACCGGATAAAAGTGTTATTTCTGACATTCTGGTTATCCAAGCTGACAAAAGAGACTAAGTCCTGTGACTTGTTACATCAAACAAAAGACAAGAATAATAAATGTAAGGACAGATAGACTGATTCAGAACAATACACCAATTCGGAACATTAACACTTGAGCATTCTCTCTATTCCGGACACCAACTTGACTCCAGACCACAGACTGGCTCCGGACCATGAACTGAATTCGGAACAAGACTGAGTTCGGAACATTTAAGAGATAGAGATTGCTAGAGGTTCACTTTCAGGTTCCAACACAATGTGTATTCAAAGATTCAAAGCTAAATTCAATTTCTGATTTTAAGCGTGAATAAATTTTGTTGTACTAGAATAAGATTAGATGTATTTGAATCTAAATTTAAGCAGTATTATTCATTTTTTCTAGTATGGTGAACCTTTTAACCGTATTTTTCTCCCCGTATTAGATTAACATTTTTCTAGTAACAAGGATATGCATAGAAAAATACACAAAAAATGTTATTATGACTTCATATATAAACTAGTAGGTGAGCACAGGCTTCACTCCACAATGGGTTTTTTCTGAAGTGATGTGCCCATATATAATGTCCGTCATACCCTGCATCATGCTTCGTTGAGCTGCTTGGCTCTCTTCTTCACAAAACTGCACAATGACATTGTGTTTATATGTAATTACTAATAATAGCAACTTACTTACTGTTAACGAAATAACAACAAAATCTATTTAATAAAAAAGAACTTAGATCTATTTTGAAACTACACATGTATTTGATTATTGGTTACATTTTACCGATAATAACGTGCTACTTTCTAAGTCTAACGGTTTAATAACCAAAAAACAAATTGATAAACTTTTAAAAAATAATAAGAAATGAAAGTAAATGATACTTTGAAAAATGTATCGGATTATAGCAGTGAAAATTGTTGTGTATTTGGTTACTATCACTATATATGGGTAGAATTAATAAACTACAATGTTATAATAGGAATATAGATGTAACCTGTGGATAAATATTCAGGAGTAACACATGACTTTTACCACCAGTTGGTACATCCCTTACCAATCCAAAATCCGATAATTTTGCACTCAAGTTATGTTGGGCACACTCAAAGTTATATTACCGGTTAGTTCATCAACCATGTTTTGCCTACACTTCATCACATTAAACAACAAATTTATAAGCAAGGTTGGGATTAAAATCTATGCAAATACACAGATATACATGAAATAAAGATGAGTCGATCAACATTCGCAATCTAAATACCAATATTTAGGAAGTTGAGAAGTTAGATCAAAAAATAATATTCATTAAATGGAAATGGTAGAAGAATGTAATAGCTATAAAAGTGATTGAATGATGTTCGAATGGAAAAACATCTGTTTCTTAGGGTCTGAGTAGCATCATTTCCGGTTGTCATGGCTGATAGTTCAGCAGCTCCTGTGTCATTATCAGCCTGGACTGCATAGGACTAAGTTTTCACGAATATTGTAGGGTTTAAAAATGTTACAAAATAAGCATTTTAAGTAAAAACTTAAAATAAAAAAAAAAATTAAAAAGTCAAATATGGGCATACACATGGGAAAGGATAGCTAGAGATATAGAAAAACATAGGTTGAAGACAAGAATGAATCTCACCAAGGCCGCAATTGCAACCCAGTACCAATAATCTTCCACATAGAAACCTCTTGATGTGATAATAATTTTTTCTAATGTGGTACCATTCAATGGATATAGCACAAATTTGTTTACAAAAATAAGCCTCATGATACATCCGTATTTATATATCAATATATAAACACACACAAAGCAGTGCTTGACATACTCACTTCCATTGATTCACAAGAAACTCATTCACAACAATTTCATTCATAGTTTACATCATAGGAGATGACTAGTATCCCCAAAACCACAATTTCTTTACATCCTATTTTGAAAAAAAAAACCTTACATATTGGTAAGCCAACCTACAACCATGTAAATGAAAGATGGCTTAATTTAAGATTATAAAAAGAGATTCAAGAGAGGGGATGGATTTAGTTTGTTACCTTCTTTTACAATAAGAATCGTTGCTTTATATACAGAGAAAATTGTTTATATATCATAAGCATTTTTGTTGTCGTTTGGCAAGCCCAAATTAGAAAAATAAAAAATCAGATCCCTACATTGAAAAGATATAGACAAAAGGGAGAAACAAAAACACCTTTGATGTTAATGCAGAGGGGAATTAGCACTTACCCTTATGTGACATAGGACATAGGAGCTACTGGTAAACAAATAATGGATGTACATTTCTATTTTATATGCTATTAAACACAAAGATAACTTCTACAGTTATAGCACTTACCTGTATGTGACATATGGCTCAACTTCTGTAGAAATTCCATGATTCCATCATTTGCCTTGACAAAAACACCAGTGAATAACCTAAAGCATTTCCCATCATATCCCTCAAGAACAGATGCCTCATGTTCCATTACACTTTATATAAAACGTGAACCACATCAACACAATAATGATTCTACAGCATCAGTTGTATACAAATATATAGCATCAATGAGCTTAACCTGATCTTCTTTGACATATATGTCGCGTAGAATATGAACTTTGGCTTGCAAAATGTGTACTTTCTAGCTTTTGTCAAGAACGCTAAGTCCCATGCGAAGTTGAAATATGACAATCCCTTATTCATAAATCTGTATAAATCGTCGTTAGAATGTTGTTTCTTTGTTGTACTTCAATGGAGTAAGCAGATGATTGAGGTAAAAGATCTCAGCCACCGCTGGGTTCGTTTCTACAAAATGTATCGAAATATGGAAGAAAATCAGAAATACATGAAAATTCGAACGATTTTGAAGCTGAAAAATCAAAATTAGTACCTTGAGTTGTCGACCAGGCTCCTTGTAGAGAAGAAACCCAAAGAAATCAGTTGTACAAGACCGCTCCAAGAACTCAACGAAGATCTGCCTCATAGGACCCTGGATTTCATGAGCAGCTTCTTTGAGTTCCTTATTCCTAACAAACGAAAGGGGTCGAGTTGTAATCCATTTTGAATTCCTACAACAACACCTTGAATTGTGCTTTGTTCAAGTTCTTGTTCACGTCAGTGTTGAATAGTTGCTCCATCTCGTCGAAATCAGTGGCATATAAGCGAGGCGCCAACAGGGTTTCCTTGATTACTTTTTTCTGTCTTTCCCTTTTGTGGTGGTGGGGGTGGTGGCAGTGGCTTCTGACATACGAATTGTCCTTGTGGAGGTGATGCTGGTGCGGTCATAGTATCCGATTTTGGAGATGGGTAGTACAAAATACCTAAAATAAAATGATTGGAGCTTAGAGGCGGTGTAACATATGAATGATCAGGTGGCTGCAAGGCATGATTTCTTCATCCATTTTTTTATTTTTGTGTGCTGATGTAACACCCGTTTTCCATGATGGATCGATTTAGGGTTTTACGAAGTCAAAAACTTGATTTTTGGAGAAAATTGAGTGTCACAACATGACCATAGGGTGGTCATGACCGGACAATCCATTAAGATAAACGCATTTCGGAACCATTCTCACGACACGACACATAGGGGTCATGACGTGAAGCCTGCTGCAGCCTAAGCCCATGATCTTTTTGGGTTTCCTTCGTATTTAAACCCCTCTAAGTTGATTTTAGGGTTCATTATCAGCCTCCATCACCCTCCTACCTCATAAAATACCTAACCCTAATTCCTTTGGTGATTCTTGGCCTTTTTAGTGCATTTAGTAGTTTGAAAAAGAATGATAAGAAGGTGTTCTAGTAGTAGATCTAGCAAGGAACTTCATCATCATAGTTTAAACTCATTCTGGACCTTTGTAAGTGTTCAACATCCAAACTTTATTATTTAATATTGATAGATCTAGGTTTTGTCCCATTTTCTTCATGTTTTAGCAAGCTTGAATGGAAGAGAACCATAAAGTTGGCAAATTTATGGGTTCGAAGGGTCCCTTTAGTAGTATAAGGTTTAGATCTAGAAGTAGGTTGAGTTTTGGATCCATGCATGTGAGTTTTGGATTATCTCTTCACTTCTGAACTAGAATGGATTGAGGACATGCATGAAGCATGCATGTCTATAAAGTAATCATTTTTATGGACCTTTGGAGTTCCCTTAAGCTTCTGGAAAAGTTAGAGTTAATGACTTAATTGATTAAGGACTCAAATCTTTTGTTTGTTGCTAAAGACTGTAGTCACAACGTGACACTAAGGGTGTCACGACGTGACCATGAAAGGAGCCCACATCTTTTGTGCTTTTTAGTGCTCACGATGTGACAGAGGAATGTTCACGTCGTGTGGTTTGCCAAATGGGTTGTATGTGACTGAGTTCGCTGAGTTGGAATCGGGTCGAGTGTGCTCTCAAGACGTGACCAAGGGCTGGTCACGACGTGAGGATCGATGGTTGAATTGATAACTGTTGACTTTGAATTTTGGCATGGGTTTACTTTTGGTCAAATTTCTATCTTTAGAAGGTAGACTTAGGGTTTATCTTGTGTGGGTTTTTTAGGTGGTGTTTAGCACCCATGCATTGGCTAGGGGTGATCTAATAGATGTGGACAGCGTGCCATTGAGCTAAGTTATAGTAGGCTTTGTGAGTCAGGTGAGTATTCTCACTATACCATGTAGGCAGACGAGGTGGTGGCCCTGGAAATTATATGAAAGACCCGGATATGGCTCTCGGCAATTTGTATGCAAGACTAGGGTATGGACCATGGCAGTTATATGTAGTATGCTAATTGTCTCTGTGATACTTGTATGGAAGACTAGGATGTGGCTCTTGGCACTTGTTTGTAAGACCTGTTCTTGGCCCCCAACATGGCAATGAAAGACCATAATGTGGCTCATGGCATGATAGTGATTGTAGACTATGGTTAGAACATAGCATTCCCTATTCTATGTATGGTATGGGGTATTTTGGGGAACTCACTAAGCTTTGTGCTTATATTTTTGTGGTTTAAATATTTTCAGGTACTTCCAATTCCAATGGGAAGGGCTCAGCTTGAGTGCACAGCATCCCCTGATGGCTTTTTCACATCGATTTGTTTTTGTGTTACTCTGATGTTTGAAAATTACAGTTACTTTGATTGGTTTTGAAATAAGTGGTCGTATGAAATTAATGGTTTTAAATGAAAACTTTTATTGGTATTTTTGGGATGTTACAATTTGGTTTTAGAGCCTTGGTTTGAGGGATTTAGGCACACTCTCAGGTGTGTCTGAGCTTAAACTAAGGAATTGATACTCTTTCTAAAAGAAAATAAGTTTTCTAAAAAGCTTTTTATAAAGAAAAAGGTGTGTGATGTGTGTAATCAGCTGAGCTCAAGTAAATGATTCCCAGAATACCCATACATGTTGATATGTTATATGTTTTGCATGCTGAATGTGTCATAAGGATATGTTTAGAGTTGCATGCTAGAATGCCTATTAGGAGAGATGCCTATTAGGAAAGATTTATGTTTATTTTTGATGGCATATATATTTTTTTGCTTGAATGTTGCTTGCTTTGTGCTTTGCAGGACTCATATTAATGTAAGTTAATTATTACATGAATATGTTAAGTTCCATGTTGCGAAGGTTAAGTTATCTTAAAGTGATTGATTTGGCCCTATTGCACAACTCTTGTTTGAGTCCAACCGTTGTAGGGTTGAGTCTTTTAGTCAAAGGATTATTTAAGATTTTTTGTATGTAATTGTATTCATGAAGTAGGTAATTGACATTGGTAGGAGTTCTTCAGCAGTTGATGGCAGGGTGAGATGAGGGATCCTAGAATAGCCTAGAAAGTGCTTTATTTTGGTCGGCATGCTTTGTAGCGGGTATTTTGAGTATCAGTGTGAAGGTGACTTGGAGGATTCAGGATGATTCTTGAGGAAAAGTATGGATAGGTGCGGAAGGTAGTATATGGCCCATACTACTTAAAGCACATGATCCGGACTCGAATCGAGGAAAATCATGAGGATTCTAGGAAGCCTCTAGAATGAGGAGTTCTTCGGGTATGTTCTGATCATTTGTATGGTGGCTTTTCTGTATGGTGATGAGCAATCGCGGAGGAGGTTCAGGTTCTGGTTCAGGCTCAGGCGCTGGTGTTGATATGATTAATGAGCGGATTCGCGAGTTCATTTCATCTGAGATCACTAGCAGTATTTTGGATGCGACTCCTGTGATGTTTGGTACCATCAAGGAGGAGATCATGGAGCTCCTGGACGAGCGTCTTGGGGATTTTTGGGCTGAGATTGTAGTAGGAAAATTAGGGGCTCGAACTCTCCCTTTTCGGGAGTTCAAGGCTTGTGGATCCCTAGAGTTCTTTGGGGCGAAGGACCCTATTGCTAGCCGATGATGGATCGATGACATGGAGAATGCTCAACAGATGAGCTTCTGCCCCAGGGGGGTCGAAGGTCTGATTTTCATATTTCCTTCTAAGGGACCGAGCTCGGGACTGGTGGGAGGACGTTGGGAATGCTTTGGGATCGGTGGCCGTGGCGTCCATGTCTTCGGATGATTTTGTAGCAAGGTTCAGGTCTAAGTTTGCATCGGAAAATGAGGTGCAACGGTTGGCGAGGGAGTTTTAGGACCTTCCGTAGACAACGGAGATCACCGCCAAGTTTATGGAGAGGGCTTTGCTAATTCCTTAATATGCTTCAGATGCGAAGATGAATAAAACGAGATATCATTACATGCTATGGGATCATATTCGAGAATTTGTGAGCACGTCCAACTGTAGGACCTTGGAGGACATGATCGATAGAGCCCAGGAATGGGATATTGATTTGGAGCTTCTAAAAAAGAAGAAGTTGGTTCAAACTCAGGTAGCGGAGGGCTCAACGAAGAATCCCAAGATTTTTGATTTGCTAGTTAGTAGACGACAAGGCTAGTGCCTTTGCGACAAGTGCGAGAAACGACACGATGGGGTATGTCGATCTAGAGGTATGGGTTGCTACAAGTTCGAAGGGTTTTGCTCATTTCAGCAAGGATTGTCCCCAGGGGTCGAGTCCGATATGTTTTTGGATTGGTCAAATCGAGGGTGTAAGGTTAATTGTTGTCATATTCACACCTTTAGGGAGTGGTTGTTGGTTGTTCAAGTGGGTATATCTCTGTAGTAAGTGGTTCGTTAGCTTGGTTATCTATTTTTTTCGATAGTTGGGTTATTCGTTCTTCGTCATTCGTTGAAGTCGCTCGAGGATTTTTGAGTGGTATCGGTGGAAGGTGCTTGGAGATAACAGGTTTTTGTTAGGATGGTGGAGCGGATTCATCCGTATTCTATGATGTGTATACACTAGTTCGTCTGGGCATGAAATGTTAATGTTTACAAAGCTTAGGTGTGTGGCGGACTCGAGTGGTGAAATTATAAACGGTTTGGAAATTTGAATGGTTGCAAGGTTGATAGGGTGTAGATGATTCCAAGTGGGGGGAAATCGCTTGGGATTAATAGGAATATATCAAAATGCAAGTCAACGAGAAGTTTTCTATCCAGGGTCAAGTGGATAGCGAGTTATGGATGTGGTTTAAGTTGAGGCTTATGCAAGTGATTATGTTCAGTGCTCAGTTATTATCAGGGAAGCAAATGATGGGGATTCAGATTATCTTGTCCGAGAACATGGAGCATCAATAGTAGCGCATCATGGGTTTGTGGTTAGGCTCAGGTTTAGGGTTGTCTTAGGACCTCTCTTCCTGTTCTTGTCTGATGAAGGCTTTAGGGTTCGAAGCACGAACCGAATGCCTGGTCGGGCTTATCAAGTTCAGTTTTCGGCTTTTGTTGATTTTGGAAAGGTATTCATGTGATGATTGGCAAGAACATGGGTTTGGCCCATGGCAGGGTAGAGTTTTTGTAAGATTTTGGGGTGTCCCATAACATTCACTATGATGGTAGGTGGTTGTGGAAGTGTTGTAAGACTGTGGGGTGGCTCGTAGCATTCACTAGGTCAATGGGTAGTTGTGGGAGTGTTGTAAGTCTGCAATTTGGCTTGTAGCATTCACTAGGTTGAGCTTGACCATTGCAGGAAGGGTGGTGAGATTGTGGGACGGCCACAACATTCATGAGATTGAGAAAGGTTGTAGGCCGACTTGGGGCCAGGTGTGATGTAAGACTATGGATGGGCTGGTAGCATTCATCTGG